ATCAGCTTGTCTCCAAGACAGGAGGTAGGGGCAAGGACAGTGGGGGCGGGGGGCAAGGCAGGGGACATGGGAGCCAAGCTGCTCTCCTCAAGGGGGCTCGGGTGTGGCCACCCCCTTGCTGGCCTGCCCCGCACCGGCCTCTTTTGGAGCAATGAGCATGGGAAGACGTTAGGAAACCTCCCGGCTTGATCGAGAGAGAGAATCTTGCTAAACGTGGCCAGCTGGGCCAATTAAAGGGATTCTTGTAAGGAAAGGGTGAGAAGTTCTCACTTTCTCTGGCCCCCTCATTCTGCCTGAGGACTACAGCAGGGAAAGGACCTGCCCCAAGGACACCTGGTGAGTCAGCAGGAGACCCGGGTCCTAAGTAAGATCTCCAGCCAGGGACAGAATTGCCTGAGGTGCTGCCTGGGCTTCTGGGGTGACAAACCTGGGCCACTGACCTGACCCATGCCCTAGAGGATTGCTGCTTGCGGGAGGCCCAGCAGGGGTGGGCGACTCTTTCCCCCTGGGGTCACAGGGGGTCAAGAATTGGGCCCTGGCTGGGGCCCAGCTGGCTGCTGGCCACCTAGGAGAGGAAAGCTGGGGTCCACTGAGTAAGTGTGGCTGGAACACTGACAAAGGGACCTCCTTCATACACCCCAAGGCCCGTGAATCACAGGCCTTTGGGGCAGTGCCAACATCATCATCGTGACACAGCAAGAATCTTATCATCGGCCCAAGGGGGAAGTCAGCCCAGAAGTGTTCTAAGGAACGGGTGGAGCCCGGCCAGTAGCTCAGCCCTCCCAGGCTGGTCAGGCGGGGTGGCCCGAAGTCCTCCTGGTTCAAGTAGGGAAACTGAGGCCCAGACAGGCAAGGGGCTTGCTGAGGATGTCACGGTGAGTCCGTCTTGCTGAGCGGATTCCCAGTACTGCGCTCTCTCTCACTTCCCTGATGTCCCACTACGCCCTCTGTGTGGGGGAAGATCCTATTAGATGGAGAACAGGGCCTTCCAGGTCCAAGGTTCTTTCCCCCACGCTGGTCCATACGGAGAAACTAGTTTCTTTCACTCCAGAGCTCTCTGGGCTGGGATCCCTGCCACTGGCAAAGTGAGCCCTGCCACTTCCTTCCTGGGCCGGGGGTAGGGGTGGGAAGCGAGGCCTGAGAAGGGGCTAAGTGGCCACAGAGCAGGGAGACAGTGAATGGCTCAAAGCCCATTTTGTAACTCTGTCAGGCAGAGGCAGGCTGCCTCCAGGAAGGAAGCTGGAGTGTGGGTGTGGGCGAGGGTTGGGTAAGTAGGTGCAGGAGGCAGAAGGGGCAGAGCCTGGCCACATGGGTCCGACCTGCTCAGCCTCTGGGCCTGCTAGCCACTGGCCTCCCGTCAGCTTCTAGGTCACGTGCTGGCTCTTCCTGCCCAGAAAGTTCCCCCAGGGCTTTGTGCTGCAGACCTGTGCCGGGGGGGGGGGCCTCCCTAGGGCTGGCCCTGACCACACCTCTCGTTTATTTTTCCTGTCACAGGTACTGCTCTGAACTCACCTGTGTCCCCAGCCTCCCACAGAGCACAGGGCCACGAAGGCAGGGACCATGCCTAGCACAAAGCCGGGGACAGCAGAGGCCCAGGATGGCTGCTTGTTGAACGAGTGAGCAGAGAATGCGGTTTCCCAGGACACCACCCTGCCTACCTCGGCAGCATGGGGTGGGAGCTGTTCCAGGTGCTGCCGGAGCACCCCGGGTGGGTGCCTCCCAGGGCTACTCCCTCTAGCCCTTGCTCCCAGGGAGGACCTGCCCACCCTGCTGCAGTCCCCTCAGGCAGGAGAAGAGCTCTTAGGATGACCCACTGTACCCCACGAGGCCAGCACCTCCCATTTCTGCTCTGGAACCTCTGGCTGTTGCCCCCTGCACAGAGGAGAGCAAAGGGGAACTCTGCTAGTTGCGATGGGTTAGTTGCCTAACCCCAGGCTAAGCAGCCCTGGTGGTGCAATAGTTAAGTGCTTGGCTGCTAACTGAAAGGCTGGTGGTTTGAACCCACCCAGTGACTCCGTAGGAGAAAGATCTGACGATCTGCTTCCATAAAGATTACAGCCTAGGCAACCCTATGGGGCAGTCCAACTCTGTCACATGGGGTTGCTATAAGTCAGAATTGATTGGATGGCACCTAAGGACAACCGCCGCCACCACCCCGGGATGGCCACGGAACCAGCTCGGCAGGGCCTGTGGACCCTTGCCACTCATTCACAAGCCCTCATTTGCTAAGCGCTGAGGTCTAAGGCCCCGGCTCACACAGCCTGTTAAGATGCTGTCAATGATACGGCCCAAAACTCTCTACAGATGAGTCCTCAGCCATCTGCGTGGGGCCTGGAGCACTCTGCTGGAGTGTCCTCGTAATAGCCCGTGTGGGGATGGTGGGAGGAGGAGAAAGAACCCCGAGCTACTTCCTCCTTGAGCCTGTTTTAGGGACTAAGGGCCTCACAGCCAGGATGCTAGGTGTTAAGGTTTGTGGCCGATGTAGCTATGGCTCCTCGAGGGGACCGTGTGCTTTGCCTGGGTGGGGGTGGATGACACCCTCCTTTCCTGGGTCTTAGGAGTATGGGTGAGGCAGAGGGCAGAGCCCTTTCCTCTCATCCTGGTTCCAGCTCGTTCTAGCTCGCTTGCCTTCTCGTTATTTTCAGCTCTCCTGCCCAACTCCTGACCGGAAGCGCAAACGTACAGAGCCTACTCTGTAACGGGTGGCAGCAAGTTGTTGTCTATGAACAAAGAGCTGCCAAAGGCCTCCAGCACTGAGGGGGAAAAGGGTTCTAGCGAGTTGGGGTAGAACTCTTGGTCAAGGTTACATACTCAGTGGCAAAGACGGCCACGTGAACGCCCACAGGTTCTTGGTCACACTCATGTTTAAGTCAAGAGGCAGCCCTGGCTGCGGGTCTAGCAAGCCCCTGCATATGTCTCGTGCTGGCAGATCTGATTTGTATACAGCACACAGGAGAGGGGCTATGGTCCGGGGGCCATGGCTTTACTCAGACCACCCCCTAGGCCCTCACCCTGTACCTTACATGTGCTATATCTCTGCCTTTCCCATCAAAGCAAAATGGCAGTTGCACAAGCTAGACACTTGGGGCAGGACAAGGAAGAGCTCCCCAGCAGGCCTTAGAGCTGGGGCAAAGAGATGGTAACAAAAGCAAGGCCGAATGTTCGTCCCCAGGGACTATGAGGTGGTAGCAAGAGCTGATGATCGGGCCTCAGATCTTGCCTCTGGAATTAATTTACTGTGTGACGTTCGTCAAGTCACAAGTTTGAAAAAGATACAGAAAGAACAGCCTCCCCTGTTTGCGGCTCAGTTTTCTCAGTGGTGGGGGAGGAAGTCCCTCTGGTTCTTCCAGTTTCAGGATGCCGGATCTACGTTCAAGGTCTGAGCATGGATTTAGAAATGCCTCCCAAGTGCAAGTACAGCATGGAGTGCTGTGATGACAGTGGTGCCCGGGCAGGGTCACGGTTAAGAAGAGTGAAACCTTGCAGTGCCTGTGTGGCCCCCCAACAATAAGTTGGGAAAGGTCAAGGGCAGAGCCAGACGGTGCCTTGCACGATGTGACACAGTAAGTCTGGCTTTGGAGACTCACCGAGGCGCCCATGATGATGAATATGTGTGTATCAGACTGGTGGAAGGCACCGCCCTGGTGCAGCTCTTCCCGGTAGATCCCGCACACCTGGGTCCGGCTCAGGGCCACCTGCTCAGCCATGGTGTTCTCTGGGGGAAGAAAGGCTTGTTGACAAGCCCACGGAGGAAGAGCACATAGAAGGGGGCCTCTGAGCTGTCAGCAGGCTAATGCCTAGTTACTGAAACCACTTGCTGTGAACGTGCCTAGGGGCAGCCAGGTTGGGTTAGAAATTGCTGGCTCTGGGCTGCGGCCATACCCTCCCAAGCTGCCTTCTTTCAGGGAGTACATTCCGGACATCACACAACATGACCATGATTTTTTCGTTCTAAAACCCTGCACTCAGGCGGGAACTCATCAAAGCGCCGGATCCTGTTAGACTTGGCGGATGATGGGAGTTCGCTCCAGCTCTACTGCTGCTAACCTGGGCGACCCTGGGCAAGTCCCCCCTCTGAGGGTCTCAATGTCCTCAGCGGCCCGATGGGGGATTGCATGGGACGGTATAATCTGCTAAGACCCTCTCGACTCGGCCCCTCTACCAAGTACAGCAAATACCGCCCAACCAAAGGACTGCTTGCGCTAGCGGGCAGCACGCCCCTCCGCTCTCTCGGCCCGCCCGACTGGGTTACCTGCGCCGCCTCGCTGTCGCTTGCAGCGCTCGCAGCCCCGGAGTGCGCGACCGTTTCCGGGGGCTGCGCCCCGCCGGCCCATTTAACCGGCGGGGGCGGGGGCCTCGGCTGAGCTGATCTGCCTCAGGCGAGGCGCGTGGGGCGGGGCCTCCACAGGCCCCTCCTGCGCGGGGCGGGGCGGGGCGCCGTGGGGTGGGGGAGAGGACCGGTGCGCGCGCATTCCCGACCCAGCCCGCGCGCCAGCTACCACCCCCCCGCCCTCGCCCCGCCCATCAAGCACCTGTGCCGGCCGCCGGGCAGCAGGCCGCTTCCTGTCCCCGTTGCCGCCCCTCCGCATCACCGGCCGCCTCTCTGGAGGGGACGCTTCGCGCGCCCAGGTGCAATTCCGCGGCATTCACCCGACTCCCCATCTCCAGCCCAGCCCCGCCCGGACGTCCCGGCTTTCCCGCCAGCCCCCAGGCGACCATGAGCCCTCGCGGAACGCTCGACTTCCGCCGGCAGTGTTGCCACGCCTCCTCTGGCTCCTCCCCCCGGCTTCGGGGCAGGGTCTTCTGGAGCCCCGCCCCCTTATCGGACCCGTCGCCCGCTCTCTCGGGTCAAACCTGCCCTATTGGTCAGCCTCGTCTTGGCTCCTCCCCCGGCAGGGGCGGGGCGGCCGGTCGCCCCGAAGGCGAGGGGGAGTGGAGGGTTTAACGCCCTGAAAAAGAGCGGGTGGTTCTCATCGTTTGGATAGTGGTCCGCGAGACCAACCGAGGATGGCGGGCTCGGGCTTTCCTCGGTGCAGGCCGCGGCCTTGAGGGAGGTGCCCGCGCTAGTTCTCCCCATCCTCTGAGCTCGCCGTGACGGGGGCTTGCCAGAATCACTTCCGGATCCCACGGGTACGACACAGGAAGCCGGAAGTGCAGGTTTCGGCTGCGGGAGAAGGGAAGGGCGACCGCTGAACCGGGACTTTGTTGGCGCGCAGGGGATCTAGGAGGGCTCGCGGCCCGCAGCTCCAGCCCTTCTCACGTCGGACCGACTCTGCTGACAGGTGTGGTCCTTTTCCCCGAAGACAGGGTACCATCGGCGGGCGTTCCGCCGCCTCTCTGAGACTCCCCGGGATGTCGAGGCTGCCCTCTCCTTTTGGGCCCGGGCTGGTTCCTGCCGCGCGCTTCTAGAGCACCGGCTGAGACAGGCAGATTCAGGACCCAGGCTACTTCAGCGGCTAGCGGGACTGTTTTGGCACCCTCTCTTTCCGCCGCAGGGTCTGACTGGTGTGAGGAGGACTCTTCTAGTTAGGAAATATTTTCTGTCCATCAGACTTGAATGCGTTTGAGGGCGTTAAATTTTTTAAAAAGACCTCAAATATAGCAGCTAAGTGTCTTATCTCATATGCCTAGGTTAGGTCGCTTTGCAAAAACAATTAGTATCTACCGGACCTCGTCTCATTCCTACGACCTGAAGATGAATGAGTCGTGCCTGGCTTGTTCAGGGAACAGCAAAGGAAGCCAGTGTAGCTGGGGCAGAGTGAGCGAGGGAGGGAATGGTTGGAGAAGGAGGAATAGGGACCAGATGGGACAGGGCCTCGTAAGCTGATGTAGGGACTTTGGCTTTTACACCAAGGGCAGGGTTCTGAGTAGAGGAGGGACATGATCGGAAGTACCTTTTAGACTGATCGTTCTGCCCGCGGTGGGGAGAACAGACCATAGCAGGGCAAGGGTTGGAGCAGGGTGACCTGTTAGGAGGTTATTGCACTTATCCAGGTGAGAAATGATGGTGGCTTGGTCATTTTATTATGGACAATTCCAAAGATGTACAAAAGTGGAATAGTATAGTAAATCCCGCGTACCCAGCTCCCAGCTTCTACAATTATCAACTTGTGGCTGATCTTGTTTAATTTATACTCTTCACAACCGTTTCCCATTATTATTATGACTATTAATAACAGCTAGTGAGATATAATTCACATTTCATACAACACCCTTTTAAAGTACACATTTTAATGATTTCTAGTGGATTCCAAGTTGTACAACTATCTTCACTACCAAATTTCACATTATTTTCATCAACCCCGTAAGAAACCCCATGCCCTTTAGCCATCATCCCTCATTCTTCCCCTGCCTCCTCCCAGCCGCTGGTAACTACAATCTTTTTTTCTGTATATACCTCTTCTGGATATTTCGTATAAATGGACTCACACAGTCAGTCTGTGGTCTTTTATGACTGGTTTTTTTTACCCAGCATGTTTTCAAGGTTCACCCATGCCAAAAAGTGTACTAATAATTTGTTTCTTTTTTATGGTCAAGTAATATTCTGTTGTATATCGATGTGGAGCCCTGGTGGTGCAGTGGTTAAAAGCTCTGCTACTAACCAAAAGGTCAGCAGTTTGAAAGTTCAAATCCACCAGCCACTCCTTGGAAACCCTATGGGGCAGTTCTTCTCTGTCCTGTAGGGTGGCTATGAGTTGGAATCAACTTGATGCTAACGGGTTTGGGTTTGGTTTGGTATATGGATGTACTAGATTTTGTTTGTCCATTCACCTGTTGATGGCATTTGGGTGGTTTCCACTTTTTGGTTGTTGTGAGTAATGCTGCTGTGAACATTCATGTGGGGACATGTGTTTTCATTTCTCTCGAGTATACAGCTAGGAGTTCCCCCATTATTTTGAAGCAAATTCTAGGCATCATATAATTTCATTTGTGAATATTTCAGTTGCATTTCTCTAAGAAAGGACTTATTGAAAAAAAAAAACACTTAACTGTGCTGTCATTATCACATCTCAGATAGTTAACATCAGTTGCTTAGTGTCATCAAGTGGATTCTGGGAGACACTTGACAGGATGTCCAGATGGATTAGATGTGGGAGAAAGAGGAGTCCAGAATGAGGCCAGGGTGGCTGTCTTGATACCTGGAGGATGGATTTGCCATCAGCTGATAAATGGGGAAGGCTGGGTGGGACTGGCTTTTGGGAACTCTCAGGGGTGCAGTTTCAGATCAGTTAGTGTTGAGAGCACAGTTAGATATCCAGGTAGAGATGTTGTCTGGCCTGAAAATCTGATCTGGGGCACCATCAGCATTTAGAGATGGGGCTTAAGGCCGTGCGTGAGACTGGATGGAATTCTCAATGGGGTAAATGTAGGTAGAGTAGAGAAGAGGCCCCAGGACAGAGCCCTGGGGCACCCCAGCATGGAGGGATAGGGAGAAGAGGAGGATCCAGCAAAGGAGGCTGAGCAGGAGCAGCCAGTGAGGAAAGCAGGAGAGTGGGAGGTTCTGGAAGCCCAGGGAGGAAGGTCTGTTAAGGAAGAGGGAGGGATCGACAAGTTCCTCCTCCAGGTAGTCAGTGCTCCCGGGCAGGATTTCAAAGGGCTTGGGCTGCACCCTCCTGCGTGGCCTCCCTCCACTCCACAGGAGAGTGCAGGCAGCTTGGGCTGGTGCTCTGCTCTGCTGGCTCAGGCCCAAGGTCCAGCTTTCACTTTCTAATTCCTCAGTACCCATCCCACACCAGGGGCTCCTCACTCCCACCCCCTGCCCCCCAGCTCCAGGGAACACTCACCAGGCTCTGAACAGTTTCCTTGGATCTTCTCTTACTAGTGTATTTGTCTCCCGTAACAAAGAACCACTAATAGCATGGCTTACAGCAACAGTTTATTCTCTCGCAGGTCTGGAGGCCAGAAGTCTAAGATCAAGGTGTGGGCAGGGCCATGCTCCCTCTGGAGGCTCTAGCGGAGGATCCTTCCTTGCCTCTTCCAGCTTCTGGCAGCTCCAGGAGCTCCTTGTCTCGTGGGTGCACCACTCCAGTGTCTGCGTCCATCTTCACACGGCCCCCTGCTCTGTGTGTCTCTCCCCTGTGTGTCTCTTAGAAGGACACCGGTCATTGGATTTAGGGCCCACCCAGTTAATCCCAGATGATCTCATCTCGAGATCATTTAGTTAACATCTGTAAGATCCCAGGGTCCAGGGGTTAGGACGTGGCCGTATCTTTGCGGGGGACACCATTCAACCACTTGTACTAGGTGAGGGGCAGGCACTCTCCTCTCCTCGTGCTTGGCTGTGTATGTGAGGTCGGATTTCCAGCACACTGATGTGTCCCTCCAAAGATAAGCCTCTCCGTAATTTCCTACAGCTGGCAAATTCTTAGCTTCAGCTTATAGTCCAGAGGTGGGTGCTGAGCCGTTGTCTTGCCCGGCGCCCTTAGGTGGTCTGCCAGCTCCCTCTGCCGCTTACCTTGGGGCCTCAGGCATTGCTGCGACCCACAGTCCACTTCAGCCTCCAATTCTGCTAGACAAGGTGACTGACGTTCTACGTAAAAGGTGGCCCTAGGACCCGTGCACAGAACGCACCCCTTATTCTGCGGGGTACGGGAAGGCTGCCGGGGTCTTGTATAAAGCGTTTGCTGCCTTTCTCTTCCAGACTGTGCCGTGGTGGATGAGCAGGCATCTCCGGAAGAATCCGCTTTGTGAGATGGTGCAGCCCAGTGGTGGTCCAGTGGGGGACCAGGACATGCTGGCTGAAGAGTCTTCTCTGGGGAAGCCAGCCATGCTTCACCTGCCTTCAGAGCAGGGTGCTTCCGAGCCCCTCCAGCGCTGTCTGGAGGAGAATCAGGAGCTCCGAGGTGGGTGCACAGAGGGTCGGGGCAGCCAGCCTTGCTGAGGGAAAGGCTCCGTCTGCTCACGTTGAGCGGCCTGTAGTCTGGCTGTGTCTCCTGAGAGAAGTGTGTCCGCTGCTGGGATGAGACCTTTAAACTGCCCAGCAGAGTGGTGGCAGGTGGGAGAGGGAAGCACAGATCCCGGGGCTGGCGGCTTTGTGAGAGCCAGCTAGCACTTCCAGCTTAGCCAGCCCTCCTCTTTGTTTCAGTCTGGCTTCCCCAGCGGCGGCGGGAAGTTTATTTAGAGAGCTTTCAGGATCCACACCTGGGATGTGGAAGGGGAGAGCGAGCGGGAAGGGAAAGAAAGGGAAGAAGCAGGGGTGGACAGAGGGAGAAGCTGGGCAGCCTCGGCAGGGAACTCTGGAGCTGGAATGAGCTGTCAGAGTCCCAGGTGGGCCATCGTGGCCAGGCCTTTTGTATCCCCCCCACCGCCCCGTTCAGCAGTCGTTTGCTGCGGGCTTCCCTGGGATGGGGGCGCGGTTCCTCTGGGAATGGGTGTGGCTTCCCTGGGCGGCCCACCCCTGTCTCCATGGCCAGCTCTGCTGCGCTTCCTCCTGTATGTTCAAGGAGCGGCTTCCCGGGTTCCTGGAGCCCCTGCTTCCTGGGGGGCTTAGCAGAGGACTGGGAGTGACAGTTGCAGCCTCCCTGGCTGCGGGTCTCACTGGCTTCCCTGGTGGCATGACCCAGCCCCTTGCCCCTGAGGGATCTGAGACCCATCACCGTGCCGTCTTAGGCCAGCATGGCTGCCTGTGGGTGCTGCACCCATTCTCTTCCTTCCTCCTCACGATCAGGCCCCCACGGGACCTCCTCTGCTGCTCCTTTGGCATGAGCAGCCCGAAGTGCCCTGGTGGCAACTGTAGTTCATAATCCAGTGGGACTGTACCCGCTTTGGGGACCAGACCATTAAACTGCCCAGCCCAGAGTGGTGGTGGGGGGTGGGAGAGGGAAGCCCGGATTCTGGCTGTTCAGGGTACGTGTCTATGGCTCTCCTGTTCCCCTAGACCACGTGGCCATGTCCTGCTCAGTGTGGCAGCTCTTGCTGTCCCAGAGGGGTGAGGCCTTGAGGCTGTGTTGCCCTTCACCTGCGCTGCCTGCCTGTGTCTGGCAGGCAGCAGTGGAACGCGTTGGCTCTATTGAATGGGTGCTGGGTGTCAGGCCCGAAGGTGTTGGCCCTAAGATACTCCTGTTTGGGTACGGAGAGGAGGCTGAGGGTGCAGGGGCAAGGGAGGACCTCGTCTCTGCTTGGAAGGTTTGGGGGGAGCTCTTCCTGGAAGAAGTTGCGTGTACCTAGTCTACCACTTGTTGTATGACTCCGTTGACATGGGATGTCCAGAACAGGCAGAGCCATGGAGACAGAACGCAGGTTAGTGGTTGCAGGGGGCTGGGGGTGGGTGAGTGCTAATGGGCGCAGGTTTCAGGGTGATGAAGAGGGTCTGGAACGAGGTGATGGTGACGGTTGTACAGCACTGTGGATACTGAACACCACTGCACGGTCCACTTTAAAGTGGTTCAGAGGGTGCGTTTTAGCTCACTGGGAAACACTTAAAAGCAAAGTGGGTGCATGGGAGCTGAGCCTTGGCAGGCAGAGGGAACAGAGTGTGCGGAGGTGTGGAGACAGGAGAGTCCCGGGCAAGGCACCGGCTTGGGAGTTGATCCTCCGGGTTGGAGGATTCTGGCAGGGAAGAGAAGGTGGCAAGCTGACTTTGAAGCCAGCAGTGGAGTGTTCCGTCGAGCTTTTGACCTGAGGGGTGACATGGAGCTGCCACCTCCTCCCATTTTTATACAGCTCTTCAGTCGACGGGACATTTTCCTGTCCCAGATGGTTTTTGTCACCCCCAGCAGCCCTGCTTCTGGTCTCCGCCGAGCTCAGCCTGTTTTCCCCCTGCTGGGGCTGGTCCCTGGCCTGTTTCTCTCCCTTCCTCCGGCTTCCTGAGGTTTGCACAAGCTCACGACTCTGCCTGTTCTCTTCTAGCCAGGGCTGGTCCCTGGCCTGTTTCTCTCCCTCCCTCCGGCTTCCTGAGGTTTGCGCACGCTCACAGGTCAGCCTGTTCTCCCCCCGCCGAGGCCGGTCCCTGGCCCGTTTCTCTCCCTCCCTCCCTCTGGCTTCCTGAGGTTTGCACACGCTCACAGGTCAGCCTGTTCTCTCCACGACGGGGCTGGTCCCTGGCCTGTTTCTCTCCCTCCCTCCGGCTTCCTGAGGTTTGCACACACTCACAGGTCAGCCTGTTCTCCCCACGAGGGGGCTGGTTCCTGGCCTGCTTCTCTCCCTTCCTCCGGCTTCCTGAGGTTTGCACACGCTCACAGGTCAACCTGTTCTCTCCCCAACGGGGCTGGTTCCTGGCCTGTTTCTCTCCCTCCCTCCGGTCCCTGCTGGCTTCCTGAGGTTTGCACACGTTCACGACTCAGCCTGGCAAGAGAATGAACAGCTTCTTCTTGAGGCTGTGTTTTTCACGGGCTTCCCTCTCCTCTTTCACGGCGGAGGTGGCTGCCCCTGGTGAATATGCAGATGAGGACATCTAGGCTTAGGGCTCAGCAGCGGTCAGTGTCATAGAAGTGGAGTGGGTCCGTGCCACCGGCTCTCCCAGGCTGCTGTGGGCAGTGCCAGTCTGCCCGGGTGGCCATCCTGGGAGTCCGCTGGTGCTCCAGGGTAGGACACACGAGTTCCAGAGTCATTTAAAAAGAAAGTGTCATTGACACACACTTTAAAAACTTTTTTATTGTGGTTAGATATATATAACAAGACATTTTTACTTCGCCTATTTTATTTTTTTTCTTTTGTTGTTGTTGGTTAAGTGAAAGTTTACAATTCAAGTTAGTCTCTCGTACAAAATTTTATACATACATTGTTACGTGACCCTGATTGCTCTCTCCATACTGTGACAGCACACTCCTCCTTTCCAGCCCTGATATTTCCCGTGTCCATTCAACCAGCTCCTCACCCTCTCTGCCTTCCCATCTCACCTCCAGACAGAAGCTGCCCCTTTGGTCTCTTGTGTCTACTTGAGCTAAGAGACACACTCTTCACGAGTATCACTTTATGTCCCACAGTCCAGTCTAATCCGTGTCTGAAGACTTGGGCTCAGGAATTGTTTTATTTTCTGGGCTGACAGAGAATCCAGGAGCCATGCTGTCCGAGGTTCCTCCAGTCTCAGTCAGACCATTAAGTCTGGTCTTTTTACTAGAATTTGAGTTCTGCACCCCACTTTTCTCCTGCTCCATCTGGGACTGTCTGTTGTGTTCCCCGTCAGGGCAGTCATTGGTGGTAGCCTGCCACCGTCCGTTTACTTCATCTGTCTTTCAGGGTACGTTTATTATGTACACGTTTACGTTTATTATGTACGTTTACAGTGGCATTTATTATGTTGTGCAGCCATTACCCATAACAGAAACTCAGGACCCCTTCAGCAGTAGCTCCCCATTTCCCCTTCTACCCAGACCCCGGTGACCTCTATTCTGCTTTCTGTCTCTATGAGTTTGCCTATTCTAGATGTGTTATGTAAGTGGGATCATACAACACTGGTTCTTATTTCACTCAGCATAATGTCTTCCCACTCTAGCCATATTGTAGCAGGTATCAGAACTTCATTTCTCTCTGGGGCTGCGTACTAGTCCCTTGTATGCAGGCACCACATTTTGTTTATCCACTCATCTCTCGATGGGCTTGCAGGTCGTTTCCACCTTTGGCGATTGCGAATAGTGCAGCAGTGAACGCTGGCGTACGAGTGTCTGTTTGCATTCCTGCTTTCAATTCTTCTGGGTGTATACCTGGAAGTGGACTCGCTGGGTCATGTGGTAGTTCTCTGTTTGACTTTTTGAGGAACTGTCACACTGTTTACGAAGAGTCTGCACCATTTGACACCAGCAAGGAATGAAGGTTCCATTTTATTTCTTCACACCCTGACCAGATTTTTGTGGTATTTCGTTGGAGGTATTTAGGGGCATCTTGTTAGTGTAATTAAGTTTGAAAGCGTTTGAAGAAATAAAGGAATTGTTTAAAAGCCCCCTATCTGTCTGAAGGCCTTGTAGTGTGATGGGGAGGGCGCCGTGATGGGTAGCCCCGGCCTCAGGCCCCAGGCCTCACCTTCCCCTCACTGACTCCTCTGCCACTAGATGCCATCCGGCAGAGCAACCAGATGCTCCGGGAGCGCTGTGAGGAGCTGGTGCATTTCCAGGTCAGCCAGAGAGAGGAGAAGGAGTTCCTCATGCAGAAGTTCCAGAAGGCCCGGAAGCTGGTAGAGAAACTGAGCCTGGAGAAGCTTGAGCTGAAGAGGCAGAGGGAGCAGGCCCTGCAGGAGGTGGAGCACCTGAAGAGATGCCAGCAGGTAGCTAGGGTTGGGGACTGTGCCACCAGCCACCTGAGTTCTGAAAGGGGGAACCCAAGAGACTCATGGGACTCAGGAAAGCTGTTATAGTCATGGTTACGGTTTATTACAGCACAAAGATACTGATTACAATCAGCAAATGTAAAAGGCACCTAGGGAAGGGTGCGGGAGAGACCAGGTGCCAGCGTCCGAGTGGGTGGGGGCAAAGGAGGGCAGAGGGAATGGAAGGGCAGGTCAGGCTGGGCCTAGTAGTCAGAGGAAGGACTTGGGCTTTGACTCTGCCTGCAGTGGGGACCATGGAGCAGGGTGACATGATCTGGCTTCCAGTAGAACGTAGACTGGAGGGGGCAAGGATGGAAGGGGGAACCCAGCTGGAAGCCTGTTGCAGCCGCCCAGTAAAGGATTAACCGAGCAGGGCTAGAGCGTCCACACCCTGTATATTCCAAAGAAAGGTTTGGCCCTTGCCTGGCTCCTGGTGGCTAATCTCTTAGCTTTTGGAATATCCTGCCTGGGCTATTTGTTTACCAAGCTCCCACCATAAATCACAGTGTTTGCCACTTTGCTGGGGAGGACAGCTGGGGAGCCCTTTCTAGGGGCACAGCAGGAGGTCACTGTGGCTACGTAGTGGACACAGACACTTCAGGAAAGGAGCAGTTGGCGGGGTGGGGAGAAGTCGCAGAGTGGTGGGCGTGCTGGAAGCCCACAGAAGCCAGCGCGTGGAAGGGCAGGAGCAGCAGATGCTGCTGAGAGCTTGGGGCCGAGGGGGACTGGGGATTGCTGGTGGGAGTGGGCAGCAGGAGGTCCCTGGGACCCAGGCCAGGTCAGATTGGGTGGGGTGATGAGGGAGACCTGATGAGGGAGCTGGGGAGCTGGGGTGTTTGGACAACTTGTGAATTTCATCACTGGTGGGGTTTTCCTGGAAACAGTGTATCAGTCTGTCTTGTTCTCTCCTGGATCCATGCCTGCAGAATGGGCCATGTATCTTCCTTCCTGCCTTCCTGTCTTGCCCTCGCCCCCCTCCAAGTCTCAGAGAGGGCAGGAGATGCCTTTCCACATGCTACGGCCTTGTGGCCACTGGGTTCAACCCCATACCTTGGTCACCGGGGCAGCAGCGCAGGCTGCCAGCTGTGTTGTGTCCCTCCTAGTTGCAGTCTTCATGAGGAGCCCCAGCACCTCCTGCATCTTTGTTGGGGGCTTGTGTCGCCCTGTCCTCGGAGATGAGGAGGAAGGGTCGGGGTGTGGGCAGATGGGCTTGTTCCTTTTCCGGGGCCCATAGTGCCTTTCACAGTTGAAGGATGAGGGTGGGCGGCGGGCTGCGGCGGCAGGGGGCTGCTGAGGGTGGAGGTGGGGGAAGGGTAGGGGTCAGGGCACATTGGCCTTGGAGGCTTCAGGGCCCCAGGGTTGGGGTGCTAAGGGGACGGGAGAATCCCCAGGGTGCATGTACCTCAGCCTGGGAAACCGGCTGGGGAGAGCGGTGCTGACAGGAAGTGGCTTTTTTTCCTGCAGCAGATGGCTGAGGACAAGGCCTCGGTGAAAGCCCAGGTGACGTCCCTGCTGGGGGAGCTCCAGGAGAGCCAGAGCCGCTTAGAGGCTGCCAACAAGGACCGGCAGGCTTTGGAAGGCAGGTGAGTTGGGACGGAAAGCCTTGCCCTGGAGGCCACTTCTGGGGTCCCTGAGAAGAGGCTGGTTTAGGGGCCTTCTGGAGCTTTCTCTGTGAGAAGGTGGAGTGATGACTGGGAGCGGCTGTCTCCCACGTGCCGAGTGATCACCCAGGGGTCCCAGCCGGCACTCTGGCTCTTGGCTCGTTTGCTGGATTTTACAGTATTTCCTTAGGTGGCATTTGGAAGGTCCTCAAGGCCACAGCCATGGCCAGTGGTCAGCTGGAAGGGCGGGTGGCAGGTGGAGCGTGAAGACAGCACACACGCTTCCTCAGGCCCCCTCCCTGCCGTGAGGGGCACACACCCAGCTGCCCTGCACCCCTCCCGGGCTCCTTTCCCCCAGCGGTGGGAGACGGCAGTCGCGTCGGGGAAGCCCACGGGGGAGTCGGTGCCCAGCGGCGCCTGTGGGCTGCCTCTGCTTGCCCGAAGCCCGCTGGGTGCCTGCCGTGACGCCCGCCTGCACCCCACCAGGGCCCGGGCGGCCAGCGAGCAGGCCCGGCAGCTGGAGAGCGAGCGGGAAGCGCTGCAGCAGCAGCACAGTGTGCAGGTGGACCAGCTGCGCATGCAGAGCCAGAGCGTGGAGGCCGCGCTGCGCATGGAGCGCCAGGCCGCCTCCGAGGAGAAGTGAGTGCCGTGCGGGCGGGGCGGTGGAGGCTCGGACCCCCTACGGTTGGCCCTGGGAGGGAGGGGAGGACAGAGGAAGATCAGAGGGTCTGAGGTTGTTTTCTGCCTCCTGTGGGGGAGAGGCTGATTCTCTCCCTTAGCCTTGTAGATTCATGAGTCACAGGCGTGAAAGCTTGCCTGGGGGCAATGCCGCTCCACCCAGCAGCCTCAAGGTACTGGTTTGAGCAAGGGGGTGTCAGACTCTCCTTATTTCTAGAGACCACCATGCCTGGAACAGGGCAGTCTGCCTGGTCGCCTTTGTCTCCCTGGCTACCTCCTAGCAGATGCCAGGCTGGGGCAGAGACACATGGTCCAGCAAGGTGGCTCTCCCCGCCTTCGGCACTATTGGTGATTTCAGACAGAGGTCTTCCAGGAAGACACAGTCTGGGTGTTACCTGTCTGACAGCACAGGCGGTCTAGATGCCTTCCACACAACTCCATGTGCACAAGAGCTCTGTCCAGGGCCTGGGGAGCCCAGGGGTGAGCTGCTCTCGGGGCTCTGCTTTAGCGGAGTGTACTTTCTAGGTCCTGAAGAGACAGGCAGGTGACAAAGTGCTTCAGGGACACCAGCCACTGGGCTACTTTCCCCCAATCCAAACCTCACGTGGATAACCTTTGCTACATTTTTAAAATGTAAAGTGTTTTTAAATGTAAGTTTTATTTTTTGAAAAGGTACATTTACATGGTTGACCGTTGAAAAGATTCCGGAGTATCTGGTGAGAAGTGTCCCTCCTCTTCTCATCCCCACCCAGGTTACCAGGTTCTTGCATATCCCCGCGGAGGTGTTCTATAGATGTGTAAGCAAGCGTGCGCGTGTGAGCCATCTGAAAGCGCGTTGCAGGCCTCGTGGCCCCCGCTGCTGAGCACCTCAGTCTGCAGGTCTGCAGCGCGAGGACGCATTAGTATCCACTATACAGCGTCCACCGTCACCTTTCACCGATCGGCCCGAGCGTGTTCTTACAACTTTTTTTTTAACAGGATCCTGTCGAGATTCGGAAACCCTAATGGTGTAGTGGTTAAATGCTATGGCTGCTAACCAAAAAGTTGGCAGTTCGAATCCACCAGGCACTTCTTGGAAACTCTATGGGGCAGTTCGACTCTGTCCTGTAGGGTCACTATGAGTCGGAATCAACTCGACAGCACCGAGTTTGGTTTTTTATTCTCATCAAGGTTCACACCTTTTGTTGTTGTCAGGTGCCGTTGAGTCGGCTCCAACTCATAGTGACCCCATGTACAACAGAACGAAACACTGCCCGGTCCTGCGCCATCCTCACCATCCTTGCTATGTTTGAGCCCATTGTTGCAGCCGCTGTGTCAATCCATCTCGTTGAGGGTCTTCCTCTTTTTTGCTGACCCTCTACTTTACCAAGCATGATGTCCTTCTCCAGGGACTGGTCTCTCCTGACAACGTGTCCAAAGTATGTAAGACGTAGTCTCGCCATCCTTGCTTCTAAGGAGCATTCTGGCTGTACTTCTTCCAGGACAGATTTGTTCCTTCTTTTGGCAATCCATGGTATATTCAATATTCTTTCCCAGCACCTTAATTCAAAGAGGTCAATTTTTCTTCAGTCTTCCTTATTCATTGTCTACCTTTCATATGCATATGAGGTGATTGAAAACACCATGGCTTGGGTCAGGCGCACCTTAGTCCTCAAGGTGACATCTTTGCTTTTCAACACTTTAAAGAGGTCTTTTGCAGCAGATTTGCCCACCCTTATATTTTTTTTAATGGTGATTTAGGTGAAAGTTTACATAGCAAATTAGTTTCTCATTAAACAGTTAATGATGTGTCAACATGCTCCCCCTTTCCACTCCGGGTTCCCCATGTCCATTTGTCCAGTTTTCCTGTCCCTTCCTGCCTTCTCGTCTTTGCTTCTGGGCTGCTGTGCCCGTTAGTCTCATAAACGTGATTGAACTACGAAGCACATCGCTCACGTGTGTTATCGTTGGCCCTGTAGACCTGTCTAATCTTTGGCTGAAGGGTGAACCTCGGGAGTGACTTCAGTACTGAGTTAAAAGCGTGCGCAGGGGCCATCCTCTCAGGGTTTCTCCCGTCTCTGTCAGACCAGTAAGTCTGGTCTTTGTTTTGTGAGTTAGAATGTTGTTTTATATTTTTCTC